AAGAAGCCTTGATTTTTGACACATTCACAACCTTGTTTTCATCATAATTACATAGAATCGCTTGTTTTCATACTTTAAATCTATAAAGATGAGATTCTAATGAAGCGTGTAGATTATATATTATAGACCAATATTTGACTAGCATTATTGATTTATTGGTTATTTTTCAAATAAATGAAAGATGGCGGTTTTAAAATCCTGCATTCATCGACTCAAGGTATCCCATGCGAATGCCTATTTTTTCTCTCGTTTATTTTTGTTTTTGTTTTTGTTGAGGCAGTGTAAACGGTAGACAGGTCGATCAGTTACACTTTATTAAAATAAATGCATATTTATATTTTCAATATACCATCAAATATTTCATTTTACATATATTTTTTTTTTTCAAATTAATTTTCTGCTAAAAATATGCATATTTATGAATTTCGATTCATTGACCTAATGGTATGATCGACCTAATAGAAAGGCTTGGAAAATAAAATATTAGTAAAAACAATGGTATTATGAGTCCATTTTCTATGACTCACATGGAGCTTGTGAATGAGCATGCACATCCTTGTCAAAAATTTCCACCTTTTCAACTTCATTCATGTTTTGGAATTTGATACAAGGACTTTGGGTTATGCACGTGGATTTTTGGACTTTAGCCAAATTATAGGACCAATTTTCGATAGTATACATATGTTATTTTTATTCATAAAGTTTGGTGGGTCGATAAATATGAGAATTTGTAAAAAAAAAAAAAACATTTAATTTTAAATATCAGTACTTTAATAGTTGGTTTTTTCTCTTAATTACATATATCATGATGAATGATTACTGACAACAACGCATGAGACGGTTTAAACACGATATCTATTGCATGAGCCGATGAAAATAAACACGATATATAGAAGACATGGTTAAAAAATTTAATTATATATGAACTTATTGTTTGATATTGATGAGCAAAGAAAATAGAAACGTGATAGTAAAATATGAATACCATACGATAATACGATTTGCAACTCTTAAAAAATGTGTATGACACGATAATACCATTTGCAACTCTTAAATCACATATGTTATAAAGCGTGATGAACCTGTGTAGGAAACATATTGTTCACTTGTGGGCCTTGAAGCCAATGATGTTTAAATAGGCCCAACTAGCTAAATCTTTACAGAATGGGCTTAATCAACACTAAGTCCTTAACTAAAGACTTAACGAGCTTTAAGGCCCACATATTGGTGATTTGCGAATGCGGCACAAGTACACTCGATAAAGCTGGGCCCAGTAATGTGGTTTAGTGCCATGACCAGTACATATGTAATATATTCACAAATAAATAAAAGGTTAAATGAAATAGTGGGATAGATAAATTAAGAATATTCATGAAGCCAATTATGAGTAAGCCTAAAACAATTAAAAGTGTAGGAATTATTAAAAAATATATTTTTGTATTATAAAAAAATATATTGTATATTACATCATTTAAATACAACATTTTCATTATGAATTATGGATATTTATTTTTTGAAAAAATACATAATGCTAACAACAACCCCCATCTGTTGAATATATGGATTTATTTTCGAAGTTCACACGCTCACACCAACTACCCCGTTGCTTTCTCATTGTTCCCTACCAACCTCCCTTTTTTTTCTTTTT